TTCCGGAGAAGCAGACTCCTCTTACTAAGCCATGGGTGGTTTGTATGGACATGTCAAAGTAAGATGTCTTGCTACTTTTTTTAAGTTGGAGACACATTGTGTAAGAAACCAACAATCTCTTCTTTTTGTTCTTCCATTGCCTGCAAGTGAAAAAGAACCTTTTGAGTTTGTTTCATAGCAATATAATGTATTTCAAAATTTCTAATAACATAGGGAGCACTGCATCAAAAGACGACAACGACTACGACAACTACTACAAATTTAACTATAACAACAAAATGCCAAAAAAAAAAACTTACCTAGGTGAATTATAATTTTTTATTTGTTTACTTATTCATTATAAATCAATCAACAACAGCAGCCTCTACAGACAGGAAGGAATAACACTAAATGAAGGTTGGGGAGTGCAGTATACTGCAAACTGTTTATTAGATGATACTAATACTGAAAATCAAAGTGAACAATTACAAGAAATAGAAAAGAGCAGTGGTTCCAATAAGCAAGATGGAAATGACAGTAATGATAATGATGATCAGTGGACTGAAGATGAAGCAGAAACACCTGCTGGTGTTACTGACACCATGTTGACCAACACACATTATTTTGAAGACAGTCTGCCTCAACGTATTTTAAATGTTGCACCAGGAGAGGGAAACAAACCCTTAAGTATATTCAGAGATCAATATTCTGAAGAGTTAGCATATCCTGGTATATTCCTTGGTCAAAGTCGACCAGAGAATAAAGATAGACTAGCTAATGTTCATTATAGCGACATTTGTAAATCTGAACTAAGACGATCAGATAGGAGAGCTGCTATGTGTGTTGAAAATATATTCTTCAAAACAAAAAAGCTTCAAATGAAAATTCTCTTAAGAAAATCACAAGTTGCACTTAGGAAGTGCAAAGGAAATAGCAAATCTTCAAATGCTGGACAGTTGAAATGTGAAGGAGCAATTGAGCGCTTGATTCATCTTGATGAAGGATTCCAATTTTTGAAAGCATTGATACCTTACAACTGTATGCAAAGATCTGTTCATAGCGATGCTTAGATAGTAATTATCATGAAGAATACTAGTTCTAGGTTTCTCTCCTCTGTATAAAATCACCACAGCTTTCGCACATGTTTGTCTAGTGATAGATGTTTTCACGTGTGTAGTGAAATACATGTATCTTCTGCCAAATCCATTTCGTAAACAGGGCATATTATATCCCGCATTGGGCTTTGTAATCCCCAAGTGAGACTTAATAATTCCCTTAACGGGCTTTTCATTCCCCAAATGGGGCTCAATTGTTCCCCGAAGGGACTTTGCATTCCCCAAATGGGGCTCATAAAGCTTATTTTGCGTCCTGAGCACTTGCAAAATGGCCGGGCGGTGATCGTGTTGGCGCCGAGAAAGCTTCAGTCGATTTACAAATTCAAAGCATCTTTCAAAACCTTTCACTCGGCCGGAATGACACCCAGTGCGAATGCTGTGGCAAAATGAGAAAACACCTTTTAAGAAATCCATTACAAATATGAAAAGCGAAAAGATCACTCACCTTGCAAGCAATAATACACCCTGGCTTGACGAACGAAATCAGGACGATACGATGCAACCCAAACGTTTTACGAAAGCACATGGTTTGACGGATTTGAGTTTGTCCTTTTCTCAGATTTGATTGGTTCCGAGTCTTCCCGGAAATCGGTAGTTCGCCACGACCTCTTTCCTTTGTCCTTTCCTCGTATCCCATTGGATAGATTATTCCCCTGAGGAACGAAGTTTGCACCCGAAAGTATTACAGGCCGAAAGTATTACAGGCCGAAAGTATTACCCCTCCGTGCATACTTCATGTATCGTGTCACCAAATGGAATCCGCAGTGAAACGTCGAGAGTAAATCCGAGATCTTGTCGTATATGAAGTAGCTGGTCGCGCGTTTTACAGCTTATCTAAGTGTCTGCATGCATTATAAATGCAGCAGACACAAAAACGTGACCGAAATTCTCCCAGTAAGATAAGATCGCCAAAAGGATAAGAAGACCGCCAAAAGGAATAGGAATTGATCAACTTGCTCATTATAATTTTTTTTACTGAATGGCTTATGGTAATATATTTGTAATAAACGTTAAATCGAGGCTTCTTCGTTGAGTGATTATCCTTAATTCTCTTCGCCAATTTGTCAATTTTGTTTACTTAGCAATTACGTCATAAGCTTTAACGCGTGACGCATAGAGCGTTTTTAGTCACGTGATCTCATATTAATTGGCCGCCATATTGGTGCACAAATATTTTTTGGACCATTTCTTGGACCATGTTTTGGACCATTTTTTGGACCATTTTAAAGGGGAGGAGCACACCATTAGTACTGAGGGAGGGGTGGGGTGGGATGAAGTCTATCAGTTCTGAGGGAGGGGTGGGAGGCAGTGTTCTTACCCAGGGAGGGGCGAGAGAAGGACTAATACTACGCAGGGAGGAGTGGAGGAGTGGTGGTTGTAATAATAAACACTACTGGTTCATGGAGCTTTTACTCGATCGTACAAGCTATTTTAATTGGTTTTTCGACTGAATTTTTGTATGTCTAAATTTTAGCGCTGGGCCGCGGCGTTTCTTCAATTTTTTGTCATGCGAAAGCGAAACTGCCACGGAAAGACTGGACTTTAACTTTTATTGAAAATATTGCGTTTACGATCCTCCACCGTTGAGTTATGCGTGCGCCTTTTGAGTCAACTTGTGCACCATCAGTTGCAGCCTTATATCTCCTGCGATTTTATGGCCTTTATTGATTTTATAACTGCTATCGTTTATGTTATTGCTATCCTTTTAGGCAGGACAATTTGAAATACATGTATTCTCTCGTCACTATTGATTTTTATATTTATTTAGAGATCATCTAGAAACATCTGTTACGCCGCAATTATGATCGGAATGTTCTCCCTTATTGGTTCGTGATTGGCGTTATCTTGTTATCTGTGGTCGTTCCATTATCTTCAATATAACATCGTTAATTACAGCTAACTTCCCGTGATCTCTGGCCTTCTTCGATCAGCATGCACGCAAAGTTCAACGCGAGTAGTTGTTGACAAGTAAACTTTGGCTCTTCAAAAGTCGCCCCGAACCTGGCGTTACAATATTATTTCCATTCCTTTTCCAACACCAGTAAAAGGGAACCCTTACAATGTTTTTAGATTAGATATACTCCTATTTTTATCGTTTAACAATATTCAGCATGCATAACATGCAACTATTTAGCAATGAAAAGGGTCTCAATGGGGCGATGGCTTTCACAGCTGACGGTTCAAATTTTGGCCATTTTAGCAGATCATTTTATGGCTAACTGTTAATTTCTTTCTATTGTGGTTGACAGAAAAATTTAACAGTTAACTTTTTTTACGACTAACGTCCAAGTTTGTCAATTTTTACGCCTGACGGCTAATTTTTTTTGGTCGTTTTACGGCTAACAATGAAACCTACTGAGACCCTTAATTTATAAGTTAAACGAGACTTACCTGTAAGTTGAAGTTTGACTGTAATTCTATGAGATACCAGTCACGAACTAGGGAGTCACGTGAGATATGTGCGAGTAGCCCGAGCGATCAGTCTTTAAAGGCGAATGATTGCAAACAATAATGGGTGGGAAGTAATAAGATGAATGTGCTACATAGTCACCAAGTGAAGGGGTAGGGCACGTGACTCCCTAGTTCGTGACTGGTATCTCATAGAATTACAGTCAAACTTCAACTTACAGGTAAGTCTCGTTTAACTTATAAATTCTATTTCGACACCAGTCCTACTCACTAGTGAGTCACGTGAGACTTTAAAGCAGTGCAATTATGAGCAAAGAAATAAACACAAACAGGTTTATTTACCAAAACTATGTGTACAAAACAACTACTGCAATATGGCTTGTCAGTCTATGGTGCACAGAGTGCACTTCAGGAAAGAAGGCAGTAAACAGTAAGCTGCCAAGTTCCCAGATTCATTGTCATAGGGAGTCTGCCTATAATAGGCAGCAACTAAATAAACACAACAAACATGTGGTAATGAGTACTGGTTAACAGTAACAAATGTCTTGTAACAATCCTATGTGTGGAGGTTCTCCAATAGGAGTTGTCCATAAGCTTTACTTGATGTGACGATGGGTTTCCTGTAGAATCTCCCAAAGGTTGTCGCATTCGACCAGCCTGCGTTATCCATGATTGTAGACAATGGAACCTTACACTTTGCAGCTGCAGATGCAGAAGCTGCCCTGGTGCTATGTCCCTTAAAGACTGAGGTATCTATTCCTGACTTTTCAAGAACCGTTTTTAGCCATCGAGAAATCGTGTCAGTTGAAACTGGCTTGTGAGGCTTTTGGAAACTCACTAGCAGCTGGTCACTCCTTTTCCTAAGGTGACTTGTCCTTTTGACATATTCAGATAAGCAGACGATAGGGCACAGACGGTTGTCTGGTGAGTAGGCTGTGAATGTTAAGTCTGACACATGCTTTCCTGGCCGAGAGGTCTTCAAAAGTTTGTTGATGATGAATACACAGCTATCGTCCTTCAATACCATATTGCTAACAGAAAGCAAATGCAGTGTCTGACACCTCTGCCCTGATAACAAAGCTAAAAGCATTGTCGTTTTGAAGGTGAGATCCTTCAAAGTTAAGCCCGGAGGTGGGTGAAGGTTTGACAAGTAAGCCAGGACAGTGTTGACATCCCAAATGTTCTTGTATTTAGGGAGGGAAGGTTTCAATTCAAACACGCCTTTGAGGAAACGACACACCATGGGGTGGGTACCAAACGACATATTTTTAGCCAATCTAACAATAGATGAGATGGTACTCCTCGCAGTGTTAATAGCACTGTATCCTATGCCAGAGTCATAGAGTTCAGCAAGAAAATTGATTCCCTCCTCTACAGGGGGACAAATGGGATCAATGCTCCTTGTACTACAGTAGCGTCTCCATTTCTCAAGGTAAGTAGCATATTGCTTTCTAGTGCCTGACCGCCAGGAGTGTTCCATGACTGTGGTAGCTGTTGTCAAAAGGCCTTTGCCGTTGAGGTATCTCCGGACAAGTGACACAGAATCAGGCACAGTTTCTTGTGAAGTGGATGAGGTTCCTGTGGGCTGCTGGGTAGGAACAGAGTGTCTCTGTCCTTTGGAAGCTGTACTGGTGGTTGTATTAACATCTGCATTAACTTGGGCCACCACGGTTGAGTTGGCCATTTTGGAACAAGTAGAAGCCCTGTTGCCTTCTCCTCTTGAATCTTTTGAAGAACTCTTGTTATCAGGCTAAATGGTGGAAAAGCATAAAATAAGTAATGTTGCCAAGACATGTGAAAAGCATTGATGGCAAAAGCTTCTGGGTCTGCTCTATAAGAGACATAGGGCGTGATCTGGCAATTGATCCTAGACGCAAATAGGTCGATGTTAGGGGTAACATTGAGCTTGGTACAAGCCCTTGCAAAGAGAGTTTTCTTTAAGCACCATTCAGTACACCTCCTAAATGTACGCGACTCTTTGTCTGCCTTTACATTTTCACACCCTGGTATACGAGCCATAGTCAGCCATATATCGTGCTTAATGCACCAATCCCATATGTCTTTAGTTAGCTTGTTTAGCTTAGGGGAGTGGCTTGTACCCATCTGGTTAATAGTTGATTCAGTGGTAGTATTATCGACCATGACCTTAACATGTTTGCCATGAGTCAAAGTACTGAATGATTTTAAGGCAAAGAATACAGCTAACATTTCGAGAAAATTGATGTGCTCCTTAGCCTCTTCAACAGTCCAAAGTCCCCCAGTTGAAGAATCACTGGTTGCTGCACCCCACCCCTGTTTTGAGGCATCAGAAGTAATGGTAATATCTACTTCTCCTCGATTTATCGGGTTGGATGCAGTCTCGATTGATTCAATCCACCACTTAAGCTCTTCACCTGCTTGGCTGGATATGCACATTGTGGCATCAAAGTTCCATTTGCTAGCATTAAGAGCTATAGTTTTATCTCGTTCTAAATAGCGGTAGTGAAGGGGTCCATAGGCAACGCCAGGAAAGCTAGATACTATAAGCCCAAGGACCTTGGCTACATCCCTAATAGTAGGCTTTTTACAGTGCAACATAACAGTAGCTGCCTGTTTTAGCTTAACAGCCTTATCAGGTGTAAGGTAGACTTGCATGTTAACTGAGTCTAGAGTAAAACCCAGAAATACCAGTTTTTGAGTTGGGATGAACACCGACTTCTCAGGGTGTACCACAAATCCCAAACTGTCTAATAATTTTACCGTGTCAACCACATTTTTTGCACAATCATCCCAGACTGTCCCCATCAACCAGGAGTCATCTATGTAACCTGACAATAAGTGGCCAAGCTGTCGAAGGGTGGCAAAGACTGGTTTCATTAGCTTGGTAAATTTCCTAGGACAAAAGGCCAACCCATTGGGAAAACATGTAAACTGAAATAACATGTTGTTCCACTCAAATTTGAGGTACTTCTGGTGTGGCTTTGCAATAGGGACCGAATAGTAAGCATCTTTTAAATCGATTGACGCCATGTAACAATGTGGGGTCATGAGCCTAATTGCTGTCCAGACCGAATCCATTTTAAAATGTTGGTATTCAACATGCTGGTTAAAGCTTTTCAAATTTAAGATCATTCGAGATGATCCATCTTTTTTATTTGTCACAAAAATAGGCGAAATATATTCTCCACTTTCATGTTGAGTGGGCACAATGACACCTTTGTCAAGCAATTTTTTAATTTCAGCTTCAATAACTAGTGAGTCACTGATGTTGAATGTTTTCCTTTTGGAAACCAAGTTTTTTGTGGGCTGTGTGGAAAATTCAATGTACTGACCCCTAACACAGTTAAGGACTTCCGAGTCGGAAGTTAGTTCTTTCCATTTACCAAGGAAATGTGTCAGTTGGCCACCCCTGAAGCTTTGCATCTTATTCGCAAAGATATGTTTCATATTGGACTCAAACAAGACAAGATTATTTACCTGTAAATTATCAAGTGTGTCAGCGGAAATCATTGCTGCTTCTTCCCTTGGTCCTGTTGTGGGAAGAAGGGTTTTTGAAGTGGCTTTGAGTTCCACTGACGGCCTTTGGCCGATCAAATTTTTGGTAGTTTAGGGAAGGGAGTCCCTTTGAGTTTTTGTGGCGATTCCCAACTGCTGTGGAGCTTACTCTGTTGGATGCTCGTATATTATTCAGCTGGGTTTGCAGGTCGTTTCCAAACAGCTGAGCTGTTACAGGAACATGGGAAGCACACAAACCAGCATAATCTTTGTTCAGATGTGGTTTGAGCGACTCCCTGCGACGGTGAGACAGGTCGATATGTGCGTGCCCTAGGAGAGCGACCGCATCAGTGTTCACTTTGACAAGTTTCTGAATGTCAGAGTCTGACTTCGGCTGCTTCGAACTCTTCATTTCTAGCAGCATCCCAATGGATTTGCACATTGCAGCACCAGCTGTGGCAATCGTTTTCTGGATTGAGCTGGACCTGAGGTCCTGCTGTTTCACTGAGTGGCTCAGTTTATCCCAGATTTCAGGATTAACCCGCGGTGTTGTGAGAG